CCCGTGCTTCTTGAGCTTGAGTGTCGGGCCCACCCCGAGACAGATACCCTTCGTCAGTACTTGACCTTGGTGGAGGACACGGTGAGCGCAGAGGAAGAAAAAACGATCTCTGACTTGTTCAAGCTCCGAGATTCAACCACCATGGAGTCTGATAGTGAAAAAGAAGAATCATCAGAATCAGCAGAGAAAGAGAAGAAGGCCAGACATGCACATGTGGTTTGATTGCAAATTTGAAATAGCCCTTAAAGTCAAAGGACTTCGATTTTGACCCCTCAAAATTTCCCGAGCAGCTGTGATAGGCGACCAAGTCCAAGAGCAAGCGCGAATCGGGAAAAAAGAAGAATAAAAAAGGTGGCAAGAACAAGAAAAGGGAGTCAAAGCATGTGAAAGAAGACAAGAAGGAGGAAGAAGCTGAAGAAGAGAAACACAAGCAGTGCGTAAGGGAGGCAAAGAAGGCGCTGCTGTTGAAACGCCAAGTTTGCTGCACACTTGCAACTTGCAAATGGTTTTGCATTTACCACACCTAGGCCGTGCAAGTGCTGACGAAGAAAATACAGTTTGCAAATCAGCAAAAAACCAAAGCGGATGAGTGGCCCCGTAGCTGCAAAATGCCTAATGCCTAAAATAACTATGCCAACAAACACTTTGCAACTTGTGCTCAATGATTTCGTCTCAGGTCCCCCGATGTGAAGAATGCCATCCTGAAGGACGTGGCCAATATGACAACATCTCTGAACCACATCCGAACCGAGCTGCAGGACGCCTTGGACCAAGTCGCTGAGGACCTTCAGCAATTCCACCGACCTTGGAGTTGCAAGTGCTGAGGGCAGCAATCCATCGCACCTTTCAGGACACTGTCGTGCAAAGTCTTACCGAGAAGGCTGCTTCTGAAATGCACAACTTTGACACTAGGATGGAGCCGATTAGTGGCAAAAAACGTAAAAGCGTGCCTAGCAAGTAGCTGTGCACCTTTGCGGGATACGAGGTGTTTTTGGAATCGCTGCATGTACCGCGTTGCTGGCTTCTGAGTTCAAGGCATTATCAAGCAACATGGGATGGTTGTGCAATCCAATGGGTGGTGTGCTTCTCTAGGCCAGCAACTAATATAGCTTAGGGTTTGGAAGCGGGCCATTAGACAAGGCTGTGTATTTACATGCAGCTTTGACGGCATGCTTGGGTTGAGAAAGTTTGGGACCGGCCATGCGTGTCTCTCACGCATACTTGCCATCTCGGGGTACAAAAGGCGCGAAGCTCTAGGTGCCAGGAAAGCATTCTGCACATTACACCCAGCCATGTCCATCAAATCGATTTGCTCAAGTGTACACCAGCGTTTGCCTAGTCTCACAGGTACTTATGACCCTCGAGGAGAGCGGCATCATCAAATGGAGGATGTCTTGGACTGTGTGGCAGGAGGAGTGTGGGCCTTGTTGATCTGCTAGCTTGAGTCCCAGTGATCCCCAAACTATGGCTCAGGCCTCCCTCACAGCAGAGATGGAGAAGCTGAAGTCGTGCCTCAAAGCCACTAGCACGCATAATGGGCTTCTGATAGAAGATCCGTTTTGAGAGCTTTCAACTCAGGACACTCCAGAAGGGCTTCCTGACCCGATTGTCCGATTGGGTAGCTTCAGTGGCCACAACCACACGAGGGACTTCCGGCGTTTTATGAAGCCTCCAGTGGACTGGGTTTGCACCTGCGTATTCAACTGGTCCACTGAAACTTACAATGCGTTTGCAGCGCTCATGTCACCCCGCAGGACCCGGTGGAGGTTGAAACGGTTGTGAAGGCCAAGATCTCCGGGGAGAACAACGCGACGGTAACAAAATTGGTCCCAGTGTTTTTGCCAGAGGACCTATTGGCGTGGTTGATGGGGCCTTTGGGTCTTGAAGTTCCCCGTGCTGCTATTGATCAGTACTGGCGCCACGCGAGGGAGAATGCGTGCCCTTGGCAGGATGTTTCAACTGATCACCAACACATTCCACTTGGGTTGTACGGGGATGCTGCCAAGTACTCCCCAGACGGCAAGAAGATCATTGGGTTTTACCTGAACATTGTGATCTGGTGCCCACGTGTGTCAAGAATGTCAAGGTGGCTATTATTTTCTTTGGATGATACTACCTGCTTGGGACTTCAATCATTGAACCCTCTTTTTGCAGCCGTTGTCAAGTCCCTCATCCGTTGCTATGATGGCATCCTGGTGCAGGGGCAACATCACGCATTTTGCGTCACTGAACTGCGCGGGGATTGGGAGTGGCATGCGTTATCACTAGGTTTGACCAGAACATGGCGAACACATCAAATATGCTGGCGTTGCGACTGCAGCAAGGAGCCTGGTGTGGCAAACAACATGCTTGATTTCAGGGATGAGCCGCTATGGGCGGCAACGGAGCTTACCCAGGTAGAATTTCTAAGCCGGTGTGTTTCTGCACAAAATCCGAGCAGCTAGTTTGCAGTTGTATCCCTAAACCTGGTTTGACTCGCAAAGAGTTGCACCAGTTGAGACCATGATGGTAAGGTTCATTGCTGTTGCTACCGTACTTCAAATACCAACTGGTGCGCCACTGCTCACTGCACAATATAAATCTTGGAGTCGCTTGCACGAGCAACGGGGGCAGTTTGCGACTTGCTTGCATCCAACGTGCGGTGCAACTTCTGATTGTGATCGGTTTATGGTTTCATGTTGTCAGCGGACTCAGGCTCCTGTTGCTGGACCTCTCCTTTTTTGGAAGCGCTGAAGAACCTATGCGTCGCCGACTGGTGACAGCATACAGGGATCTGAAGTCTTGGTGCAAACTCAATTCTGTGGCCTGCAGCCAACCAATGTTCACAGAATATATGGACGCTTGGCCTATTTCAGGAATTCAACATGGAAACCTGATTCAAAGATTAAAGCGCTCTTGCTTGATCTTGTTTCGGTCCCCTGTGCATCTAAGATATGGAATTCTTGCAGCGGAGCATCCCTGAATGCAAAGGGCTACAACGCCCGTGTGATTATCGCCTGGCTCAGTAGCTGCCTGAACATTGCCATCAGCAAAAGAACGAGTCCCAACAGATATGTGGGGGAATGGCTGGAGGCAGAAGTTGCTCTTGGCAATCGGCGCTGGCCCGAACATGAAATGCTGATCCCAACCGCTCTAGCAATGAATCTAGCTTGCACTTATCATTCCGACTTCGGGATAGAAACTCAACGCACGCGGCTCTAGCTGAGGCATTCGCTGTCGCGGTGCATGTGGCTGGTTGAGCAGGCGCCACGGTACCTGCGGCTTGGACATCCATGTTTGTTGCAAGGCAAGCGTTTTGTCAACCCTCTCAGCCCAGGAACGAAGAACAAGCAGTCAGTATATACACAGCTGGAATGCAGTTTTTGCGGGCACATCGCTGGCTCACAAAACTGTCTCAAAGGCCGGATGTTTTGTGGGCGCGTGACTGCAAGTTGGAGAGCACAGAGTTTCCTGGTTAGGCATCGCCTCCTGTATTGGGTGGCCAAACCCAAATTACATGTGCCTTGGTCAACAGGAATTTAAAACCATTCCAATCATGAGACTGCTTGGTTTGATCTGAGGGGCTAGCTCATCAACTCCGGGACCTTTATAAACGAAGACCCTTGGTTGCAACATTGCGGGCATGAGGTTTGAGGGACATGCGTCTAACCCTTCTCACTCAGGAATGAACTTCAGATTTGAGCACTGTTTCTTGGATGAAGACCAGATGAAAGCCTTGAAACGATCTTTGACGGCATCAAGTAGCAGGGTATACAAATTTGGGGCTGGAATAACACAACATGTGCCTCTAAGGAGTCGTGCAAAATCAAGACCGAAGACGCCTTGAACGGGGAGTTGCTCGTTGTGCCCAAATCAGGCCGGCGGCAGTCGGTCAAACTGCCACTTCATGTCACTGACCTGTGCATGCCTGGAGGCTTTTGGCAATGCGCAAGCACATCCACCAACTGAACGAGCGTGCAAAACGCATGGCCGACCGGGGGTGAAAAGCGGCTGGCGCACCTGTTGATCTCCGCTGCAGCGCTGCTGCTGCTGATTGGCTGCTCAGGGAGCTGAACGGGGCATAGGGCTAACACAGGGGTATAAGGTAAAGACTATCCTTTATGTTAACGTGCGCGTTTAGTTTGTCCTTTGGACTTGCTGGGATAGAAGGAAGGCTCAGCAGAAAAGATGAACGGTTCCACATATCATTGATTTACCAGATACAGTTACGCAAAACTTTCGCGAGAAAAAAAGTTACTTTCGCAACTCCATCGCACATCTTTCGCGGAGCTACCTCAACCAACACCGATGGTCACCGAATACTAAACTCCTTACAAGGACCTTTAGAACGACTCCCACATACTAAACCAATTCAAAGGAGTCCTGAACCAGTACACGGGAATACTAAGCTAATAATAATAAAATACGAATCAGGAATACACTAATACAAACTAATACTAGAACCAGTACAAAGGGGTACTAAACCACTACTAAACAAATTCTAACAGTACTGGGACAGCTCAAACGAATACTAAGCCAATTCTAGACCAGTAATAAGCAAAACTTGCTGGGAGACCACTTGAGGACAATGGCATTCTGAGGCCAACTATATGGTACGAAGTCAAACTGACTAACTAGTGCGGCGCTGTGTAATGCGAACAGTTGCGCGAGATATTTCGTCCTTCTAAGCATGCTCTTAGCTATGCCTGCTGATGCCAGGAGGGAACAAAGGGGGCGTGTCGAAACGATAACAAACATGGCAAATCAATCCCTCTATTAGCTTGGATCGTTGAAGCGATAGTTCATTCCGTAGGAGTGGAACTGATCAAACAAATCTGCGGCTATCCGTGGCCTTTTCCTTGCGGTTTGGAGGCTTTCCATGGGTTGCCACGAGGAACCCAGGATATGATGGTTAGCATATCCGGGATCACTATTACGCGGAACTCAACACCCTTCGGTCAGCATTGTTCAGGGTCGCTCAAACCCCCGGGCACAGCGTAGATTGTTCCTTGCCCGGGCACTGCCTTGGGCACGGCCCCGCCCAGGGCCGCGGGCAAGGAGCGGTACAACGCGCCCCGGGCCAAGAGGTCCTTGAAGTTCCAAGCGAAGCCTTTCCCGTTCACTTGGGTCTGAGTGATGGAGGCCTCAGAGATAGTCAGTTCGTCATCCGGTGCTTCGAAAGGAAACGCAAGATAGAAGGGAAACGCAGAATGCTTTCAACGCGGACGCGGCCCAACTCATGTGGAACCGCTTCCTTGTGGGGACGATCTTTGCTGTTGTCTCCGAAAAAGGAATACCAAAGTGGGGCATCGCCCGAACTACTTCACTTCAAAGGGAATGCCAATAAGGCCAAAACCAAGTTGTCTTCCAACAGATCCGTTTTGAACCATTCGTAACCTGCAGGGGGTCCATGCTGCCAAAAGGTTGAAGGACCCAACTTTGGGTACCGGTTTATAGCTTCGGACGCGGGGGATTTGACATGAAGAGCAATAGGGATCGGACCCCATGGTTTTCTTGTTGCCTGCGATCCAAAGGTCCCTTGTTTCAGGAACGTTGGGCCATCCATTTAGTCAAGGGCAACTGAAACGGATCTCAATCCAGAGCGTCGGCCCATTCTGAGGGACAATCCAAATGGCCTATCACTATGCCTGCAGAGCCCACTGCCTCCAAATCACTCGCAACTGTCAGGGTTGAATTTGTTGCACCTAAGTCCTGTTCGCATGCATGCCCTCAAGTTGAGGTCAAGGCATGGGTCAAAATCGGGTGCCCCCAAAAAGGGGTGCTATTGCTTTCCCTCTAACCCCCCAAAAAACGACTACCCTTCGCCTCCCTAAGACAAACCTAAGGCACCAATGGCTTGAACCATCGGCGAGCGCGCCTCGATGGGTGTGGCGATGGGCTGCTCGATGATGGCGTGGATGGAGCCGCCGATGGCCGAAGCCATGGCCTCGTGCCAGAAGCTCGGGGCCCTCGTCTCCAGCACGCCTCTCCGGGCCATAACGGGCGGCTCTTCCCGTCTTGTTGGGTGTGCAACAAAAAAGGGGGGCACCAGAAGTGGCGGTTCTCCCGAAAAGTTGCAGACTAAAACATGGTGATGCTTTGTGGCGTCCCTTTAAACCAACCAGGAGCTCAGGGGGAACCCCAACAAATGGTGATTTGCTGTAGGTGTCTGGGTTTTTCTTGCTGATACTCAGATTCTGAGGATCCCTTTCGGGAACCGCAAACTGAACCAACTGTGGATGTCCTTCCGCTTCAATCCCCAAACTCACAAGGGGACACAGAGAACAAACATCCGTGGCCAGGGGAAAAGGGCAGCCTGCTTGGCAATTCATTGACTCAAAAGGGAAATCCCTTCCCAAAAAAGAAGCAAAAGGTATCCGTGGATGTCTATGAATAGGTATTCACGCAATACCATTGACAAACTAAAGTCGGTGACCTGTTATGGTAACTGCATGGGATCTTCTGGGCCTGGTGGTTGGCTTCCTTCAACTGTGATTGGTATGTGAACAAGCTTGGTTTTGGGAAATGTGCGTGGTTGTTCGCTTAGTTTCTGTTCATTGTCTCGCACTGGCCAGTCAATCAATGACAGTGGGCAGCGGAAAAAAAGGTCATCTCTCCCTATAGATATCTGCAGATTCTAAAGTCCTTGCGCAAGTTGTGGCCGGAAACAATGGACATGCGTGTGTTAAATTCTTCGGGGAGTCTCCGTCGATACATGATGAGCTGTGCTCTTGGAGGTTCTGATGCTTGAAGTTCAGCCGGTGACGAGACTCGGTTGCTTTCTGCTCCCCTGCTAACAGTTTAACTTTTAGTGGTTTAGTGGAAAACCCATTAGTTGGCAAAAAGTTAAAGTCCTAACAGCCAAGCAAAATGCAGCAAAGGAAAAACAATCATTTCTGTAGCTACTGTCGGCCGCAAATTGATAAGCCCAGCGGATTTCTTGGGGAGGCCGTCACTTTACCACTCAAAACCCACTCACCTCGCTAGCCTAGCTCGTCAAGCAGATTTGAGACCTCACCTCGCTTGTACTCCATCCACCTCGAACTGGTACAGGGCCCGAGCAAACGCAAGACACCGCCCTCATCCTACCGCAACAATGTCCGGCTTGGAAGATTGGATTTCTGGCATCACAGGACACCCTACAAGGGCCTGTTTCTCTGCTGAATGAACCACATGCAGGCCAAGAACGTCAAGCAGTCTCAAGCAGTCACGTAGCGACCTGTTTTTAAGTCTGGGTCCGCGAGCGGCCCACCCACCATCTTGCGTCCTTCATACTTTATCCTTGGTGGACTGATACTCCAAACCATGAACATGATCCAAAGAATGTCTCCCTTCATTAAACAAAACCATAATGAAGGTAGCTCAAAGCGACTGCCTGGTGCAACTCCGACTTGCACTGCAGCCATTGGCGCCATTGCGAGCCTCTCTCCAAACAAAAACAAGCTAAGCTTGGGCCAGAATGCTTTAGGCAGGGGATGTTGCGGCAGTTTCTGCAGCTCGTGCCAAGCGAAACAGCTAGTGCCCCGGTGCCATGAATTCGTGCCCAACATATATGTATATATATACACGTATACATAAAATATATATATATATATATACACACGCAAATATATATGTATATATATATATACACGTATACATATATATATATATACACACATGTTCCCTTCCAACCGGGAGCATCGACCTGGAATCAACCTGGGGTATACGCTTTTTATCTGGGGCAATTGCAGGGGCATGTCCATTGCAAACAGGCGTTGCTTCCCGCAATGCCAAAGGCGCACGTTTCTTGAAGCGTGTTCGATCCCCTGGCTACTTTCAGGGGCCTTGTACTGCTCCGCCAGCTGGACCATGGTCTGCTCTTCTGCCTGTTTGCTAGTGGCAACTTAACCTCTCGCGTCCACGGCGCGCTGGCGGGTTCTGCACGCGGAGTCGCAGCCTCCGGACGAATCCATACTGCCAAATAAGTCTTTGCCGAGTCGGCATGTGCTCCATGTCAAACGCATGTGCACAACGCTAGGCATCTCAGAATCGGTTGTGGAAAAGACGCTGCTGTGATACCAAAAGCCGGTCATCTTTGGGAATACTTTGTCACTTCGAAGGGGGATGGTTGCTTATATGTATCCTCTATCATCAACGCGATTGAAAGGGACATCCGATGACCCCGTTTGTTCAACTTGCCCACGTGCTTGCGCATTTTGCGAAACACTCAGATTCAATTGTGCTGCTGCTGCTTCTGCTTCTGCTGCTTCTGCTTCTGCTTCTGCTGCTGCTGCTGCTGCTGCTGCTGCTGCTTGCTCTACGCTTTGGAAAAGGACAACTTATCATGTATCGCCAAGCAAACGCATATGTTAGCAACCATGTAACGGTACACAGCTCACGTGAAAGTAGCGCCTCGATGTGAGCAGCTCTCACAGAAAAACATACACGGGCCCACAGAAAGTGATGCATCAAGGCGGTAAATATTGGAGTTCAGCACAGCTGAGGGTTGCACTACTCCTATTTGATGCAAGAGGCTCCCCAGCTGCAATTCAATTGATTATGGTGCCAAGGTGAATGCACACTTCACAGGACGACACTGTGACACGAACCAGATATAAAGTCGGGATTCATCACCGATGCAGGCTTTGGGCCACGGAAGCATACATAATGCATAGCTGCAATGTGTTTAGCATACGGCGCTTGGTTGATAGTGGTGAGGTCATACCAGTAGTTGTGGCGAATTGGGCTTCGGTAGCCATGTTCTTTGATAGTAAGGGCATCCCCACATTAGGTGCAATTCAGTCTTCCAACAAAACTGCCACTTGATGTCCACCCAGAAAATTGAGGTGGGGGGGGTGAAGATACGAAATGCTGAGGTCGACGTTCGCACTTTAATCTGGACAATCCTGAGCATCAGCACAGCTGGTGGGACTGCGCGCCTCTGGCGAGTCTGGGACACCTCAAGGCAGGAAGACTCCCGAGAGCGGTTCCCTATACGCTACAATTTAAATAATGGGGTGATTCAGACAGAACAGTTCAATTGGAATAAAAATGGGGCCGGGTTGAAACGTGCAACAGCCTCGTCCCTGCTTTTGCTAAGGTTGCTGCAGATGCAGCTGCCCTGCATGTGCAACCCCGCCATAGGGCGCCCGGCGCATTTCAAGCGCCACATGTTCTCAACACACTGCGCTGGCCAATGACTTCAGCAAAACGCTATCCAAAACTTGCAAAATAGACTCTCCACAGCAACTTTGCTTCAGGAAAAAAATCAAAGAAAAACAGAGGAGCCCGGGAACCCAAAAGCAAACCAGCCTCACTCCCCATGGCATGTGGATCCCGTTGTTTTCCGGCCCAAGGGTCCGAAGGCAAACCAAGATTTAAGTTGTTCACAGTTGGGAAATCAACCCCAAAACAGATGAAGAAGGGGAGCAACCGCGACTCAAGCCGGATTGGCAGCCAGCAGCCTGTGCTCTGACCAAGCACAGAGAAAAAGGCAAAGGCACGGGTGAAACATGACAGGCCCCGCACTACATGGAAGGCACGAAGTCATCTGATTCATCATGAAGAACCAATCGCAGAAATCCGAAAATGGATCCGCACAAACTACCACTCCCAAATTGGAAGCAAGGCATAAGCTCGCTCTACACCCACCTGAGCTCGTGTTTGTGGCCCAGACGTGTTTTTGGCCCAGACTGAAACTCCAACATCTTGGGGGCAAGCAAAGAAGAATCAGTGACCGTTTCCTGTGAGCCATTTTCGCAGCGCATTTGGTCTGCCTGCTACACCAAAGAGCTGAGGCATCCCGAATGCTTGCAGAGTGGAAAGATCAGAGAGCCGAGTGTGCTCAGCATATTCATGTCAACGTGCTTCCAGGCTGCTTCCAAATAAGTAGGGCGAACCCCAAGAGGCTACAGCTTCTGAAGAGAGGGTTCGTCCTAGAAACATATTGGCACCATTTGTTCGGGTCAGGTGTGCGGCAAAAAGGACAATTTTGGCGCACCTGGAACGCCGGGCTGTTCACACGGAGCCGTGCACGTGGCCTTCACAAACTTGCTTCGTAAGCTTGCTTGGATCGTTAGTTTCTCCACCTATTTTCCCATTCGCAACCAATTGCAACTGGTGACTTTGTGGAAAGGGCCGCGCACGTTGTCAATTGGATGCGTGTGGATGGCAAGTTGGGTGGATTCGCCGCAGGTGTGTGGAGACGGGGCCGGCGCTGCGCTTTCGCGGGGGGCTCGGTGTGGACAAGCCTCGGTCACTTGGTGGGTCTGACGCCTGTCCGAAACAAGTCTGAAACACAGTGTTACCACGATCTGCATAGACCGGGGTCAGCTGTTCGGATGTTCATGCGCCCTTTTGTTTGGGCCGAGTGTGCTCAGCATATTCATGTCAACGTGCTTCCAGGCTGCTTCCAAATAAGTAGGGCGAACCCCAAGAGGCTACAGCTTCTGAAGAGAGGGTTCGTCCTAGAAACACATTGGCACCGTTTGTTCGGGTCAGGTGTGCGGAAAAATGGACAATTATGGCGTACCTGGGCCGCGCACATGGCGGTTGCCGCATGTCGTCCACAGCGCCAGTCTCGCTCACCGGCATGTCACGGGCGTCCACCGCGCCCCGCGTGTCACGAGCGTCCACCGCGCCAGCCTCGCTCGCGGGCGGTTTCCGCATGTCAAGAGCGTCCACCGCGCCAGTCTCGCTCGCGGGCGGTTTCCGCATGTCACGAGCGTCCACCGCGTCTCGCTCGCGGGCGGTTTCCGCATGTCACGAGCGTCCACCCGCCAGTCTCGCTCGGGGCGGTTTCCGCATGTCACGAGCGTCCACCGCGCCAGTCTCGCTCGCGGGCGGTTTCCGCATGTCACGAGCGTCCACCGCGCCAGTCTCGCTCGCGGGCGGTTTCCGCATGTCACGAGCGTCCACCGCGCCAGTCTCGCTCGCGGGCGGTTTCCGCATGTCACGAGCGTC